AGTAACTTATTTTCTATTTAATGGGAAATTATCCCAAATATATACCAGGGGGGAAAAACAAACTACGGCAAACATGGTGATACAGGGAGTATCACAGTGAACTTGGAGTTGCTAAGTTGGTGGCATTTCTTTCTCTGTTTCTTGCCAGCTGTGCAACAGTAGACAGGTTATCCAACAATATCTACCGTGTCTGCAAAATAAAGACAAAATCTTTCTTTCCTAGCTTATTGGTTTGTGATGAAATTCAAATAAAATTATATATATATGATATATATATGATTTTGAAGATAATAAAGTGTCATCCAAATGCAAGGTAACATTTTTTATTATAAAGAATGAAGTTATTGGAAGCAGACTAAGAAAAAGATGCAATTCAATCTATGGCTATACAGTCTTGCCAGATACAAAGGTATCTGAAATATGATAGAGAGCAGGGATTGTCGTGAAATAGGCAGGCATCATTTATTAAACAAATGAGCCATGCTCTAAAGGTGTGCTTGTACTTAAAATATTTACCTTACTGGTGTTTTACTTTGTAATAGTGCTGTTTCTCAAAGCACTGCAGTGGAATTGCCTGGGCTCCTTGTTAAAGACGCATATTCCAAGGCAGGCCCAGCCTTTCTGAAAGGTGGAACTCATGCTGGTTAAGCGATTTTTAAAGACACCAAAATTTAAGATTGCGTACAATATGCAACAACCCCCGAGATAAGTCAGTTTGAGTTATGAGGATTTTACTCAAGATAGAGTTTCATTTAATACAATTGCTTTGGTTTATGAGATGTTTCTTCTTATTTATGAGGACAAGGTTAGATTTCCCACCCCTCATGAGCCTCTGAGTGCCACAAATGATAGACATGGTGAGATCATCTGCGGTTGGTGCATAATCTCATTTTAGAAGCCCTGAGGTATATAAAGGCAATCATCTCCTCGTCATTTCCCTTGTTTCCATGACTTTTCTTATTCTTCTCTTACAATAAAGTTTCAATTTCCTGAATACAGAATATTGCTTGCAAGTTTTGTAAGCAATACTCTTTAACACGTATGCAAGAACTGAGAGAGCACAGGTAACAGCTTGTTTTTCTATTCTATAATAATTAGTGTTAACTATTAGGTTAACCAATCGATTTTCTTTTGGCATCAAGAATATTGATTTGGGGTTCAGGAACACATAAAAATGTTGTTAATTATGTTTTCAACTTTTGAAATTCTGACTGCTGTTCCCCCCAACTCCACCCCAGGAACAGATTACTCTTACAAGGTAAGGGTAAGGCTCATTTTGCAAGTTTCCTCAATTCTTCCCCTACATGTTCGAAGCAGTTAATTTAACTACTTCACTTTGTTTTCACAGAAATTCAGCACAAATCTCAAGAGTTCCATTAAAGCAATCACATCCCTAACAATATGGCAAACTGTGACCAGCCACACGGTTTAGTTGTGTCCCAAGTCCTAAAGAGTAGGGCAGTGTCATCACAGATGAGAAGAGGCAGACACAAGTGAGGGAAGCATCCCACTTTGAATAAGAACGGCAACTGATCAAGAAACCTCCCACGCACCAAGCAAGTTAAAGTCTATCCATATTCTCATCACCTGATGCTCATACTATCCTAATGAGGCAGGTATTATTCTCATTTACACGGGAGGAAATGGAGGCATGGTACAGCAAATTGCCTAAGGTTATGCAGTTGGTGGATATGTTGGTGAATACGAGAGTTCATGAGTAAGAACTCAGCTTTTTAAAAAAAATACAATTTTAACTCCAACGCCTACAGTGTTCCTCTGATGTTACCATCTTCAAAATCATAACTGGACATCCTATGTCCAAATACAAGAATGTATGGACTAGACCACGACAAATGCAATGATACAAATGATCATGTTTGATGTGCGGCTTAGGGAGAAGTAAGTCTTCTACATTTTCTTTCTGAGGTGGGGAACCTGAAATGGAAAAGAATATTCCAGCAACTGTACCCATTTGGAGGAGAAAATAGACATTTACTTCTGAAGTAGAAAATGGTGCTGGAACAATTGCTAGAAGAGTTTCTTTGCTCATTCAATAGACGTTCAATCAACACTTACAAAGTGTCAGGCACTGAAAAAGGGACCGGGAATGTAAACATAAACAAAATGCTATGGAATAGAGGCAAAACGACAGTAACGATATCTTTGAAGGATAGTTGAAAAAAGGAAGGCTTTAATAAAATAGAGAAAGTGGTTTTCAGGTTGGAAGTGGTCAAGTCTCTACAGTTGGTATCCTTGCTATCTTCATGAAGACAAAGGAACTGTCCTTTTCTGAATATTCCTATGAAAGGCAGAGGTGGACAAAACCCCACGTACTGGAAAGCCTGCACTTGGGCCTGACAACCCTACATCCATCGGCTATTCCCACTGGACGCCGTGTGGGGTGGATGGTGAAGTAGGTGCAGAAGGATCTCTTTCAGTTTATGTCCCAAGAGAAAGAAAAGGCTCTTGCATGTCCAGGTTTCTCTCCCTTGGGCTGCTTATAGAGAAAGACAAGTCTTTCATCATAGCAAGTTGAGTTTATGGGACTGGAAGAAAGGCTCTAGACCATCTGCACAGCAAGATGCACAAGGCAGAAATTCTGTCTCCAGGACACTGTCGTTCCCGCCACTGTAGTTTAGCTAAACCTTAACAACAGACCAGGGAGTGAAACTAAATGTCTGGAAAGGCCAGGTGGTTTTCTAGTGTTCTCTTCCTCACTCCAGCCCAGTCCTCACATTGCCCTCGGACTTGTGGTGTGCTCCATCTCCATGCAGAGTTTTCACCGGGCTCGGCATCCTGAGAGGGGCGTGCAATGCCCGGCAGGATCTGGTCTGCCTGCCTCCCCCTTCCCATCCTTTTACTACCATCTTTCCTCTCCTTCACTACCATACATGGATTCAGCCAAATGGAACTTTTACTGTTCTTTACCCTCTGGAATGTTCCTTTGGATCATAGTTTAAGACCCAGAGGAAAAGCTTTTTGGTGAGTTCATTGATCCTTCCCCAACTCCACCAGGCTCCTGAGCAGAAGAGTTAGTTGCTCCTCTCAGGGGTTCCCACAGCACTTCAGCCACAGCTGAGCCTTCCCCATGCCGCATTATGCTAAATATCTGTGTTCATGGCCAGATGGGGAGTCCCTTAAACAGAGGGACTGTCACTTTCCATCTCCATATTCCAGCGCTCAGCACAGCTCCATGGCACACAGTAAGCCTGAATAAATGTCTGTTGAATGAATGAATGGCCGAACGAATAGGGTTTTGCTAGTTTCCGTCCCTCACCCTGAATCAGAGGGCCTCTTTCCCAGTCCTCCTGCTGGGACGCAAATGTCTGCTGATGATAAAACACAACTAGCCCGTGAGGAAAAAGGAGAGAACCGAGAATGATTTTTGATTGAAATGTGGTATGTCTCTAGCGTCGTCTTTTGGTCATTCTGCGGGAACAGTCTTGCAAGAATTTTGTTACGTAATCTAATAAAGCAATCACGCTCCCAGGCTTTCTGACGTCCCCACCCTCCACCATTCTAAGAAGAAATAACTAACCTACGACAGTATCTTCCTGTTTAGGTCTTGCATAGCCTTTTCTTTCTCTTTTTCATTTATCCATTTCACAAATATGTATTGAGCACTTACTGTATACCAGGCACCATTTTAGGATCTGGGGATATAATAATGAACAGACAATCCCTCATTGAGTTTTTTATACTCGTGGCAGAAAGAGACAATACGTAAGATAAATAAGTAAAATAAATAACGTTCTTGGTAATAAGTCCTGAAGAGAAAAAAAATAAAGGAGGGAAGGGAGACAGAAAGTATTAGGGGAGTTAAAATTTTAGACCACATAGCTAAAGAAGGCCTTCCTGACAGTTGAGTAAAAGTCCGAAAAGCGAAGGAGAAAAGCGTGCAGGTAGCTGTCTGGGCGAAGGTTCCGAGGTGCAAGTGTGCCCGGCATGCCCAGGAAATAGCCGCTCTGGGCCACGGAGGCAGGCGCAGGGGCAGCCGGGGCAGGCCGTGGGAGGTGGAGTGAGGAGGGTACAGGTGGTCCCTGGAGGGAAGGAGGCCGCAGAACTAAGAATTCAGGTTCCGGAAGAACCAGATGAGGAGACATTGAAATCAATGAGAGTTCTGACAGGAGGTTGGCTAGGGTGACCGTGACCCAGGGGCTAGAGTGGTTAAGGAGTGAGGGGAGGGCAGGTGCTAAGGGTCGGGAGATGACAGAGGCATTGGGGTGGTGAGTGTTTTTTTCTGTTGACATTAGATTCAAATGCAGGTGGTTTTAGCAGGGAGGAAGGGAAAGTGGTTTGGAAGTGGTGAGCACAAGGGGGAGCCTACCCCTCTCGCAGGCCAAGGTGTCCGAGGGGCGGGTGTGAGAGACAAAGCAGGGAGCAGAGAGCCCTGCGGGGAGGCAGAGACCTCAGGGGAGACCCCGCTTCAGGTGGAAACAAAGCCCAGAGGGGAGGCTGCGATGCAGCGTACTGGATTCTGCTGGTGACTGACTTTGAGCAGCAGAGGGCCCAGGGGAAGGATTTCAGGCTTGGAAAGGCGAGAGAGAAGGAGATAGAGACAGGAAAGGCCGTCCTCTTCTTACTCAGTTCCTGTGCTCACTCTGCCCTGCTTGCAGTTTCATTTCACCTTTTCTAATCCAGCCTCTCCTTTCCACCCTTCTTTCATCTGCACACACGTCTTTGGCTCATCCTATCTCTTCCTGTCCTATCTTTCACTAGTAGTAATTTTCCTCTTTCATTTTCCTTCCTGCTCCTTCTGCCTCTGAGCCTTCCTTCTGTTTTATCTTTCAACCTTTCCTTTAGATGTGGCCATTTTTTTTTCTCAAGCTTCCCTCTTTCTTCTTCTTGAAGTTTAATCCTTTTCTCTAGGAATGATCCATGTGGTTGTTTGCTTTAAGGATGTTTTGAAAGCCTCAGAAATTGCCCCAGGGAATATCTTGTCCGCTGAGAGTTGCTCAGCAGCCTCACACCCTTGCACATAAAAACATCCCTTCCCTCACCTGGACTTTGACAGGCTCCATCCAGTGCTCCAGAGAGTCTGCAGTGACGTTCTCAGGCAGCATCACGGGGTCACTGGGGGGGATTATGCACGACGGGGAGCACACTGCACCTGCAGGGACAGAAATTTATAGCAGAAACTTGAACTTCCCAGACCTCAGTCTTTTTCGTCCTGGAATCAACAGCTTTGACTTTCCAAGAGCAATTTCTCTGTAATTGGTTCGTCACATTATGATGGTTACAGGTAGGGACGACATTCCTCTACTGTGTACCTGTAGAGATACTTTCACACTGACTGGTAGAGACCTACTGCCCCCTCCCTTTGCTCTAAGTGAGGTGTCCTCTGCCAGGTCCAGGATAAGCCCCCCGACTGGGATCCCTGAATCTCTGCATGATGAAGCAATTGAAAGATTAACTCCTGGTCCAGGAGACCTCCACAACCCCTCTCCAGGACTCTAGCTAGTCAAAGTCTATCCCGATTGGCTAATGCCTTTTTGGTATATTTAATACGATTCCTACTTATGTGATCTTCTGGAACCTCACAATTGCACCAACCACTACCTAAGAACTTGACTAGGTGGGGGAAAAATGGCTCAGAAATTATGAAATTACCCCAGGGAATATCTTCTCTGTTGCTGCACTGAAGATCATTACATTGATAGCTAAGAAATCCATGTCATTAAGAGAAGCAACAGAAAATCAGAAACAGAGACTTTGGCCATGTGTTGGTCTCTTGAAGGGAAATCTCACTCTGTCGCCTTGCTTGTGTCTCCTAAAGTTCTATTCAAAGAAAACACACTGTCAGGGTCCTCTATTTTCTTATCTATAGATTTAATGATTGCCAAGTTCTTTTCAGCTCTCACTATGTTTCTATGTTTTTCAGTGACTTTTAAAATAATAAAAAGAACTACTTCTCTCTTAAGGACTCTAGATGTGTGAGTATATGATATTTTAATGCAGAAATGAGAGGCTTGGAGGATGAGAATCTGTTCATGACACACCACTCAAGAGGCATATCTGAGCTCCCTGATACTTCATGCCTAACCACAAGACATCACAGGGCAAAGAGCACCTTGAAGTTGGTGAACAACCATTACAGAAACTAGTGAGGTTCCCAATGGACTCGAAGTATACTCACTGGCATTACACAAGTTAGAATGCCCTACAAAATTACTCCCTGCCAGTGCAGTTCAGAATTTAGAAGTAATCTCACGAGGTTTGTACCAACTGCAACTCTTTTCTATGATGCTTAGGGCCAGCCAGGGCCAAGTTGAGTCAACATCACTATAAATCAGCTCTGGCCACAAAGACCTTTCATTGTAATTACTTGAATAAGAAGTTGTCCGCAGGCTCTGGAGCCTAGTCGCCTGTAGGTAAAGAATGGCTAAAGAACAACGCATGTGAGTGCAATGTCAAATTGTCCCTTCCAGGAACTCTCCACTCCAGGAACAACCACAGAGAGCAGGGAGGAGCCCAGCACAGATGCCCTATGTGGAAATCCTGTCACAAATCCATCCACTCTCAGCCCTGCAAATATGCCGTCAATTTCATTTTTACTGCAGCAGCTAAGAGTTGACTTGCATTTCCATCCACTCTTTGGACGGAACAGTGTATCTGATTCAAAATCCAGCTAGGCCTAATAAAAGGATGACCTGAGAACAGACTCCAACATTCCTTCCCATCCTTACCAATCCCGTGTCCCTGTTCACACTTGTATTCCACTAAATTCAGCTCTGAAGGGGGCGGTGGGCATTCCCCTTGCAGGTTCTCACAAAGCTTGAACTCCCGGGTCCACAGTCCCTCTTTAGTGCAGAGGATGGGAAGCTAGAATATCAAAAGGAAAGAACGTCCTCATTACTGTTTTGTTAACTTCATTGAGAGTGGGAAAAAAAAGTGGTCTGATTAAATGGTAGTGTTCTCCAACTTCTAGAACCTGGACTAAAAGACACTATTGAAACACACTATGCTGTTATTGGCAGGAAGAAAAAAAGCTAAGACAATTCTTTGCTTTGTCCATGTAAAGAAATCATGAACAATTTTGCCATTAATGGAATTTATTAGCAGTGTGTTCTCCTTTGGATATAAGGATATAATGAGCTTTCAACCATAGCCCATGTATTCTGAGCTATTTTTGGAAGTTTTTCCCAGGTGGTATTGTTTTGCATTGATTCATCCCTGAGATCACACAAATACTACATGGGGCAAATGTCAGATTTTTTTCAAGTTGAGTTTCACCAAGCGAAACCAATTCATAATTTTCCTAACGGTGTGTGTTTGTCTTCCTGCTTAATGGACACACCATAGTTGCTTTTGATCTCACCAAAGTTCTAGTCTCTTTCTCTGCATGTTTGGTAGTTTGTGTAACTCTTGGCTTCATACCCCTGATAATTGAAAAGTATGCTCTATCTAGAACACAGAGAGTAGCACAAACTCGCAAAACCCAAGACAGTAATATTTTAGAAATGTATTAATAGATAACCCTCCTTTTATCTGTCCAACTCCTGGATTTCTTAACTGCTCAGTGTGAACAGATGTGTTTGATTTCTCAGGGGTCCCATTTTATGGCATATTCTTTTCACATCTGTTCTGCAGTGCTTACCTTCTGAGTGCTGGACACTAAGATAAAGACATGAGCCAGGGGAGAAATCAAGGTCATTGATCTTTGCCCAGGAAGTCTGCTTGACTTCCTGTCTCATGTATGTGTGTGGTGCTTGAGAAGATTCTAAAATAAAATTGATTTTAGTCACACAACCACGATAAGACTGTGGTTTTCATTTGAGACCTCTTGTGCCAAAAATTCTGGGGAGGATAATAGTCAAACAGCACTTTCAGCCTTGCTGAGGAATTTGTGTTTCTGTTCAGGACTCTGTTCTACTAAAAAAATCATAATGCTAGCATTCCTAGCCAACTTATGTCAGTGGCCATGCATGAGAGGAGATCATATTGGCAAACCAGGGTTCCAGCGTTGTTTGGAGTGTACCCAGGTTCCCTACCCATTGAGTTCTTCTTATCTCAGAGGAAGTTCTGAACTTGGGGGGGAGGGGCATTCCAAAAACGTGGTCTCTTCTGAATTTCTTATCAAATAATAGCAACGCCCCTGGTTTGAATCCCATCTCAGTAAGTCTCTGCCTGTTAGGATTCTTTCTAATCAACATTCTTGGATTGACCATCAAGATTAGAGCACAGCATGATCCAAAACAGAGCTCAAGAAGTCTTCCTCACCTTTTCACTTTCCTTGTTACAGTTGAGCACACACTGGCTGTCCAGGTTGAAGCCATTGGTACATTCATACATGCCTTCAAACACAGGAGAAGGGGGCTCGCACACCACAGGGGTGCAGCTGCCCTGCTCCCAGACTCCACCTTCCAGGCATTGTATCTTCAAGAACTTGCTGATAAGACATAAAGCAAAGTTAGCTCATCAGACTCCTTCAAGGAGAACACAAGAGAAGACTCAATCCTCGGCAATATATGATAAGAATATGCAAACAAGCAGGGCAAGATGGTTCTTATTAGCCAAATGTCCCACTGACCCAGTCTAAATCACGGCTAAAAATAGTAATGTTCATTTATTAGTGTTGACGGTAGTAGGTGCTGTATAGAAATATCTGATATATTACTCTCAGGAGGGTTTGATAGACAGTGTAGCATCTAGATTGTTTATAGTCAGGTGTTCTTTGAGATTTTCATCTTGGAAAAAGGCCTCACATCTAAGTATACTGTGAAATGCCAGGTAGCATGGAATATAGAAAAGGTTATCACACATTCAGGGGGATAATCAGAAGTGACTTAAGGATCATCAGTGTGATACAGCAACATAATTGATAAAGTTGCTAATATTTATTGATTCCTCAGAGAGGGGGGAAGCAATACGAGCTTTCTTTTAAAACAGAGACTCTTAATAACCTAACTTTCAGAAGGACATAACCTCCCTGAGATTACTATAACTGTTTCGTTTGTTTACAAGTTAATTTCTCCTTGGAAAGGGTTCATACCTTTCACCAGATTCTCAAAGCAGACATGACTCAATACTGCCCTGGAAGAACTGTCCCTCCTTCTCATGCACAGACATGACCCTAGCCAGAGAGCCTGCCTGTGGTGTACCCGGGAGTCACCGGAATTAGTGCTTTTGCTACTGTGAAATCCATTCCATTCCCCTTTTCACTCACTGTAGCTTGATGGTGCTTTTCATTTTGCTGTTTCTATATATCCACTTCTGATTTCAGAACACTCCTGGTTACAGATAAGCTTGTGATTCTAAAATATAAGTAACCTGTTGGCCATTGACTCTCTCATCCACATGGCTTTAAATTGCCATTTTCTAGTGTCACGATGCCCCTTTTAAATTTAAATATGCCCACCATCCCAACCGACCGTTGTACAAGGTCTCCTGTGCTCCTCCCCAGTGCTCTAATCTTACACTAGCGTGGCATTTATCACATGGTCTTACAAATGTGCACGTCTATCTCTCCCACTAGATTGGAAGCTTCCAGAAGGCAGAGGCTGTGGTATTCCTGTTTTTAAGTCCTAGGAATTAAAATAATATCTGGCTTATATCAGGCATTAAATAAATATTTGCTGAATCGAATCACTGAACTGAAATTAACAGCATGGTAGGCAGGTTGAAAGGCGCATTCCTTATAGTATCAAATTGAATCATCGCAATATCCCTAATGAAATAGTATTTTTACCCCCACTTTATAGATAAAGAAACACACTGAGAGATGTTAAGTAAGTTGTCTGAGACCTTACATCACTAAATGCATTTGACTTCAAATAATTTTAATAATAAAATATTTTAATAGTTTGACATATTTTAATAATATCTACTTAGAAACAAGTGTTTTATTTATTATTAAATAATTATGTAGATTCATACCTTTGTTCCCAGGAATACTGTAGGATAGAAATCTGATTTTTATGACTGGAATTCTTTAACATCATAGTCTATGTGGACATGTACCTACTGTGTATTAATAATAAATACCAGTTTTTAGCTATGTTTCAGGTGTTTGGCAAGACAACTTACATACATTATTTTGTTGAATCCCCAGACAACACTTAAAGGTACATGTGATTATCCACATTTCAGAGAAGGAACCCGAGCCTGAGAGAGGTAAAACTTGTTCAGCAGTCCAGAGTAAACCTGTAAGTAGGACGTGGACCCGGGCCTGCCCACCACCAGAGCCCGTGGTTCTTCTGCCGTGACAGGCTTTGCTGTTCCTGGTACGTGCAAAGTTTTAGTAACAACATCCTCATCCTACCAATACCCAGATGCCCTCTGTCTAGATCCCACATCCATCAGTGTGGCCAAAAAAAGAAGTTTCACTGAAAATTTTTGTACTGAGTAACGAATGGCATATAGAAAAAGACACAAGTCTTAGTACACGGCACAGCAATTTTTACGTGTGAATACAGCCGAGCTGGATAACCATTGCTCAGATCAAGACACAGAACATTTCCAGCCCCACTCCCCCCCACCCGAATTCCCCCTTGTGTTCCTTCCCAGTTAACCACCCCCTGGCCCCACAACACACAGCAGTCTGCAGCACACACTTCTGACTTCCATCGGCGTGGACGAGCTGTGCCTGTTCTTGAACTTTACACAAATGAAATCACACACTGTGTACTGCTAGTACATGGCTCCTTTCCTTCCAGAAAGATGACATTTAAAAATGCCTTCCCAAATCTATTTTCAATGAGGGGTTTGCAGTTCTTTTTTTTTTTTTTTTTTTTTTTTTTTTTTTTTTTTTTTTTTACTGTACCAAGGCTCCTTTCTGCCTCTCTCCTAGACGGGATATTTTACTCTTCCCTCACACTGCAGAGTTCATATCCTCCCAGGGACTCTCTCCTTCCTACCACCTCCCACAGGTAAAAGTGCTTCCCTACCTCTGCTGAGCTGACTCCCCGCAGCTGGAGCGAGCGGGCAGTACCCCTGACCCCCGGGGACAGGCAAGGCTGTAAAAACCTTGCATGCCAGCACGGTTATAAAGGAAAACCCTTGCTTGGCCAGGATGGTGATATTTTGACTTCATGCGGTATTTTTCTCTGAATTGGTTGGAATACTCCGACCATGGAAATAGTCTTCCCCTTCCTTGCCCAGAGTATGGAAGCATTCAAGAATGCCGATTTCTTATATTTCCTTCCAGTTTAATAACCAGGGGTGAGCGTAGACAGATCACACTTGGATGGGGAAGAGTGAGTTTGGGTGTTTGGGAGGCGCCCAGACCACGTGACATGCCTTGGGTGAGGGAGACCAATGCAGGGCGGCGAGGGGCGCGGTGGGGCTCACACTGCGGCCCCCGCGCCCGGGAGGTGGCACTGCGGGCGGGAGAGCGGACAAGCTGGGGACAGTCCCGATTCCCTAGGAGATCCAGTGTCCTTTCCACATGGGTTCCTACGCCCCCTCAGCCCCACGGATCCTCCTTCCTCACAGTTTCTTCTCCCAGGGAGGGAAGATGGCCTTGAGCCGCCATCTTTCCACAAGTCTCTCGCCACTTCCGGGTCCTTACCGGATAACGGTCTTTAAGTCCCACCCCCAGCCTTCTCGGACAGCATTTGATTGGTGCAGGTGCTCGCGGCCCAATAGCGAGCGAGGGCTGTGTCACACCGCCTGACGTGCGTGCCTGTCCATCCCCACATACGGGACAGGTCTTGAGGTCCCATCCTATGTGATTTGGAACCTAAGTGCCATAGGGCGTTTCTGGCCATTTTGTTCCAAAAGAGACTGTGATTGTGCCAGGAATTCAGAGCATCCTGGATTCTTCCCAGTTCCAGAAAATTTGGTTTCCCCATTGAATCCCTGAAGGGGACTGGAGCCCAAATCTTGCCACCCATCCTGCTCACGTTTCAGTGACTTAGTGTTAGGGACTGAATGTCTGTGGTCCCTCCGCCACAATGCATGTGGTGACATCCCAACCCCGAGTGTGATGGAATTAGGAGGTGGGGCCTTTGGGAGGTGAGTAAGTCAGAGAGGGGATTCCGCATGGTGGGATGAGTGTCCTCACAAGAAGAGACACAGGAGTTTGGCCTCTCTGTGCTCCCCCGCATTAGGACACAGCAAGAAGACAGCCAGGGGCAAACCTGGAAGCAGGCCCTCACCAGAGGAGGGATCTGCCTGCACTTTGATCTTGGACTTCTCCACTTCCAGAACTATGAGAAATAATGTTTGCTGTTTAAGCCACCCAGTCGATGGTACTCTGTTACAGCAGCTCAAACTGACTGAGACACAGCAATGGCAGGACTTTGATTTCCAGGGGTGCCACAGCTGTGCATTTCTTCTAGTTTGGTGATGTTGAAGAGGGACAGTCTGAACTCTTAAGATTATTAATTAAAATAATTCCTATAAAGTGCATGAATCAAGAGACTCCTTGAAGTCATGAACTGAATAGATTTGCATTTTGAAGAATGATGGCATTGGATGCTAGACCAGTGAACACAAACAGGCCCTTGCAGGACAGAGATTCCAAGGACTTCTTTGATAGCCTATGCCAAATACGTTTCACATGGAACATTCTACCCACTGTCTATCAGTGCCCTGTATAGTTTTCATGCCAGTGGAGTAAAGGAAGCCAAAAGATTTCACTTTCTAAGCAGGAAATCACACATTAGTAACCTTGAGGTCATTTGTCCAATGTCACACAGCAAGCAAGTCATTGGCAAAACCAAGAATAGATTTCAAAGTTTTCAAATTATAATATGACACTCTGATCATTTGACCAATGGTTTCCAAGAGACATTTGTAGACCAGCCCCATCAGAATCATGTAGGAGCCATTTGAAAAATCTAGATTGCCAGGCCTATTGAATCAAATCTCCTGGGACTGGCCTAAGACTCTGTATTTTTAAATTTTCAAGTAGTTTTTATGTGCAGCCATGTTGGAGAACTACTAAAATCTACGCCACTTTCCCTTGCTAATAAAAATAAGCCATAGTGTAGAAACCAGAAAGCAAGAGCACCTACCAATGCTGTAGCTGCCCCATTTGGGCTTTGCTAAGCATCCGGGCTTCTGGCTAGGGTTTTAGCAGGGCAATCTTGCTCTCTTATTTCTTACTCACTCTGTAAATGGTATTATGAGGAGTTGGGGTTGGGGAAGCTTAGAATTTATTTTCCCTCTAACTTCTCCAGACAAATCACCACAATTTCCAAGTTAGAAAGTGCGTTTTCCAGTTTCCAGAACTTGTGGTAACCACCTCGTGCTGAAAACCCAGCCACGCTCTTTCTGCTTCTTACATTATTGCCAGCAAGAAAGATCTTATAATCAAAACTTGGCCGAAAGTTTGATTGATGTTGCTCAAGGCACACATGGGTCTACCCATCCTTCTATCACCACTACAGGGTTTTCAAAAGTAATATTTATTTTCCATTGGAGAAAATAAAAGTATGATTTGTT